AAATTGCACTTTTCCTCTTCATATTGTCAAGATGCATTAAGTAATTGAAGATGTGTCGAGAAGTGCGTAATTGTAATTGATTCTATCTGTAATAAAATTAGCGAAGAAGAAAGTATTAATTACTTTTCCCTGAGTAATAAAAGTATGAGAAAAGTTGTCCCATGAGAGGACAAATACAGAGATTTATGATGCGGCTGAAATAGATAGATATAAGTGTGTGTGTGTGAGTTTCCTCTTGGCTCTTAATAGCTGCGAGTCCATTGTTTCCTCTTCGCAAAAGTTGACAAATGGTGAAGGATCATCGGGCGAAAGAAGGAATTCAATGAAAATTAATAGAGCGACCAGCGGTTTGATCGTTAGCGTTAACGTGTCCATCTCGAAACTCCGATCTCGTTATAGTATATAAAACCGGAAAATTCCTTCAAAGAAAATTGCTAAAGATTAAACGAGTTCAGAGTTTGAATAAATTGATTCTTGTCGTGCGGTCCGCTGTAATTGTCAACTCGCGTTACCTGAAAGAAAAAAAAAACTTTATATATCGTACGTGAAAATCACTTTGGCTAATTGATTCCGCGCTTTTCCGTTTCTCCACGCCAGAAATGCATTAGTTCACAAACAAACAAGAACAACAACAACAACGAAAATAGTAAGGGAAGAAACGAAAAGTAAGGGTAAAAGAGAAGAAAGAGTAGTTAAAGAGGCGAAATGCACACTGCACGTAAGGCTTGAGTAAATATTCAATCTGGAACATGAAAAATATAGTACAACGAGAGTGCATTATTCTTCTACATCTTCTCCTGCTTCTATTTTTTTTTTCTTTTTGCACCCTCGTTTTTTTTTACTCTCGGATGCGAATTGTATCTTTATTGAAAGAAGGGAGACTCTCAGCTCTGTGCTCTCCAATATTTATAATATCGGGAGGGAACACATAAACGGTGTTTCATCCCTCGGGACGGCGCGAAAACAACCCTCGTGCAACCAAAAGAAAAATCTATCTATTTTTGGTGAAAAAAAAAAGATAGAAAAGAGAAAATGATAAAGCTCCCACATCAGGTGTAACAAACTGATATAAATGTTTCTGTGGGATTTTTATTAGATCAAAGTGTAGTAGTAAAGTTAAGTCGGACATAAAAAACAAACGCGCATCGATTTATGTCCGGGACTTTAAAATATTTACAGAGATCCAAATAAAAATGTCCGAGCGTGTAAAAAATATATAAGGAGAAGGAGGAAGTTCCCTTTTAGATGATTCAATAATTTAATTGGAAAGTTTTTGTGTTTTTTTTTTAGTTTTTCTTTTAAAATTTTCTGTACTCTAATCACTGTAAGATTTTGAATAAATCATGTAAACTTAAAAGTTTTAATTCATTCATTTCTGCAATGTAAACAACCTAAATATCTCTTAATAAAAATATACTTAAATTTGTAAACTAAATTTGTATAGTTTTATATATAAAAGACTAAAATCTTTTCAAAATATATTGCTAACATTTATTAATGATAAATTACGCCAATCTATTAATTTTTTCCCAATTTTTGTACCCCCAAAGTGTTTTGTGTGTTTTTCTGTTCATTTTTTTAAGATTTTCTATACTTTATCACTGCTTTTTCGTTTTGTATAAATCATTTACAATTTCTCAATTCTGATTTACAATCACAAATAACATTCAAGTTTATTTATAAATGAAAAATTGTAAATTAATACAATACCTAAAAATCTTTAAAAATACTCTCATTTTTTTACATAAAAACAAGGCAATAATTAAAATAAATCTATTCAAAATAAAATTATCAGACTAATTTAGTGTTTTAAACTATATTTGTTGTGTTCGTCGTTGTATGGTTGGGTCTATATCGCAAGCCCGACAACCGAAAGACCGTCTATCGAAATCCCGACAATATCAAAATCTCGATAACCATAATCCCGACTATATCAAAATGTCGACAACCATAATCCCGACTATATCAAAATCTCGACTGTATCAAAATCCGACTATATCGAAAATTTTTACAATAACATTTTTAAATTATTTCGGAGCGTAGTCACTTTGTACTACACTTTAATTATTAATAACAATAAATTATTATTAATTTATTTGATTTTTTTGAATTATTCATAATAAACCTTAACATTATGAAATAATCTCAAATACAATTAGATTATTAATTGTTATTATTTATTATTAATAACAATTTAAAAGTCACTACGCTCCGGAATAATTTAAAAATGTTATTGTAGACATTTTCGATATAGTCGGGATTTTAATATAGTCCATAATTCCGATTGTCGGGATTTTGATATAGTCGGGATTTCGATACAGTCGGGAATTTCGATTGTTGGGATTGCGATTGCCACCGGTATGGTTATATAAGACTTTTATCCTACTGGCTTATATTTGTCTATATCAAAGTTTATATACATTGAAATATGCATAGAACATCGATACTGTAAATACTGCTTGAAAGCACAATTTCTCAATGCTGGAAACATCTGCGGATATTCCTGCTTCTCATTGTTTGCCTTCTCTACAATCCTGTATATTATACTTACTTAGCATATTTATACAAATATTATACCAATAATATTTAATTACAAAATTTACTTTTAATTATAGTTCAATCGATGAGAATTATAGACGAAAAAACTTAATTTTTAAATTAACCTTTAACTACTAGCGCACTGAAATTTCTATATACTACTCGCTCGGTGTATACACCACATGTATTACTGACAGACAAAGTGCATTAATGTTTGTATTACGACAAAAAAAACTTTTTCAAGTTAACTAATGCTTTTTTTAGATTCATAACGATTTGTAATACATTAATATAATAATTTCTGAATCAGAATTTTCGCCATTGTCTCTATATAAGTCTCTATATAAGCGTGAGTAGAGGTATCAGCATCGTCTGCTATTACACCAACACTGCAGAGCAAGAAAGAACATGCACAAAAACAACTTCTTTGTGCCGCAATCAACAATATTGCACCGGCATTTAGTGAACACTTTGAGCATAGGTTACGTTAATTGTCATAGATGGGAGAAAGAATATATAGATGTGGTATTGTTTCTTAGAAAATTGGTATACTTTTTACACCGGCGCGAAAAGTTAAAGGTTAATACTTATATTGATTACTGATATTTAAAAAAAAAAAAACATTAACAAATTTCTTAATATTATAAAATTATAGAATGATTCATATTTTATGATGTTCATTTTTTTGACCTTAGTGAATTACATTTAAATTTGGTTTAATGTTAAAGAAAAAAGGTCAATTGAGTAACATTTTACAAAACAGTTTTTTCAGTACATTTTCTTTGTGTCTTCCATTAAAAAAAATTATATAATTTAAAACAAAAACAATAATATTTAAATCAATCAATCATAAAAATTATTATTTTAATTAATAATTTTGCATTCCATTATTTTATCATTTATTATTTAGTTTGTAAGGTGATTTTAGTTCATTTTATAATTGCATTATGTTCATTATCGGTTAATTATTAATTCTCTCTCGTTAAATGAAATAATCATCAATGCATATATTCGTCATAAATAGTTTATTAAAATTTACATAATAAATTAACCGTAATTGTTCAATATACGTACGAAAATAGCTTCATGTAACCGAATCGTCCCCATTTTTACAAATACAAATTATACATTTGCAATAATTTAAATTAATCATATTATTATTTGATTATTTACATCCAGAGACTCGAACTTGAACCTAAAACCGTAAACCTGAATTTTTAACTGAACCGTAACTGTAACCGCTCAATTGAAAACCGAAACCGGATCGAATTTTTAATTACGGTTAATTTCGGTTCATTTTTTTTTCATTAAATTAATTCATAATTGCTTTCTTTCATGTATGCTCTTTGATGGTAATGTGCCGGTGCTAGTGTTTTGGTTTATTTATATGGTCAGTAGAATAAAAATAATTTTTCGACATTGTGTTGGTAGGTCTATTGTGAATAGAGTATATAGACAAACAATCTATAAGAGACATGGATGAAGTCTCTTTGAATTCTTTTTTCAAATAAACAAATACATAATAAAGAAAAACCATCAATGCCGAATTCTGTGGGAACGCTTAATCATCTCCGACAAAAACAAGAAAATTTGAAGAATAAAGGGCAAGCAACTATCATTAGAACAAACTCAAATGGAAGGATATTATTGTCTGCAGGATGAAGAAACATTACAAAGTGCACTCGTTAAGCGCAGTTCCACTGTAATTGAATATGTCTAAAATCAATATAAAAACTCTTGAATTTATCAATTTTCTGTGTAAAAGTAATTAGTATCCATCAATAAAAGTAGTTCATAAAAGGAGACTTTACTATATCGAGAAGAAATATATTTTGAATATCAATCACACTACGAATGTTCATAACATAGTTAAAAATATTACATTCGGAACTAGGACGTGAATATACATCAATCTATCAAAACTGTCTATCCGTTATGTTGTTTTACCTATATTATTTCATACATTTACTACATAAAATCAATATGCTATAACATACTATACATTATTTCCAATATTTCCGTAAACTTTAATTTGTCATAATAAAAAATATCAATATTAAGATTTTAAGAAAAATATTTACAATTTCATGTTCAAAAAGTCTTGTACTTTTCTAAATTGTATTTTTTTCTATAATGAAACAATTGTGATTTTTCATTGATATAATTTTTTAAATTTAATACTACTTGTTATATTACAATTTAGTAGATTTAATAATTAGTAATCAATACTTTTTGATTATTTAAATTAATCTTAGAAGTTGAAAAATTGTGTCAAAAGCTTCAATAATTCAATATAATTAAATAATTTATATAACATTTAGTGTGGTAGAACAGGTAGTGTACTCTAATGTTGAATGCTACCAACTGCTATTATGTAACAAAAAGATAGGTATCTTTAATGATCATAGTATGCAACCAAATAAGCTTGTATGTATGAAGGTATGCTTTGACCACCAAGGAGAGATAACTGAAAATCTCGAAAGTAGTTACATTTTAACTGTCAAAGTTCTATATAAAAATGTATTTTAATAATATTTGACTGATTTTCTTAACATCTGAGAATTTCTATTATTCCTTCCGGTCCTATTTGCCTTGAGAAATGGTGAGTAGATCAAATTCTAATCTGAATTTGTTATACAGATTTCTTGGTTAATTTCAGACTCAAAATGAAAGTGAGTCCCTCGCTGCACTGGAACATTTGATGGAGGAGTTCTTCAGTCACACAGTGAGCAACTCCAGGAAACATGAGATTGAAGTGCAACTCAACTCGTTCAGTTCCCAGCTGGACTCTTGGAAGTTATGTGTGTACTTCGTTACACACACATCTAGTCAGTATGTCTCCATGTATGCATTAACTACGATTGAGGTAAAGTTTTAAGATTAATTAGGGTTTTGTCAAGTATTATTAAATTGTGTTGTTTTTAGTCTGTGATAAATAGGCAATGGGTCAGTTTAGAATGGGAGCATCGAGTGCAACTGAAGAGTGCATTGTACAACTACCTAATAGAACATGACACAACAGCCCCCAATTTTATAAGGAACAAGTTGGTTAAGCTTATGGTGGATATAGCTAGATTCGATTGGCCACATTTTTATCCAGAATTCTTTACTAATATTATTCAAGTATTATCACCAATAATTTTGATCTGCTTAGTAAATTAATATTTGTTGTTTTTGTCTTTAGCTATTGCAATCACAAAATGGTCAGTTGTTGGGGCTGATAATGCTGAGGACCGCAAGTGAAGAACTGATGTGCCCGAGGCCAGATCTGAGCTCGTTTCGTAAAGAGGAATTGACAAGACTGGTGCAACAACACATTCCCCAAGTATTCCAAATATTGACTTCCATTTTAGACAGTTTAGGTAATAAACGGCGTCAGAATGCGGCAACGGCGACGCCTCCTCCGTCGCCCACGCATCCCAGTTCAGCGCCAAACTTGGCCCAGCAAATTTCTGCAGCTTCTTTCAGACCCGACAGCAAAGCCATCACAAGGGAGGCCCTATCCACCGTTCAGCACTTGTTCTCGTGGGCCAATCTCATTCAGATTCCAGTACAAATGATCACGACCATCTTCAACTTTACCAACGTTTCAAGCTACGCTCAGGTTCGTCAACCTGCATTTCCTATTGGAAACAGTTTGTTACATCTCTTTGTTTTCAGGATGATGACGATATGTGTGTACTAGCCATGTCTACTTTGAACGAACTGCTATACAGGAAATGCGTACCTCCCGGAAGCCAAGAACTGTTTATACAATTGTATCATCACATCGTTCAATTGCTGAGGGACATTTCCTGTCCGTCGACTGGTAAATTGGACACTTTAGGACCAGAGTAAGATTTTACTATTCACTAATTAAATAACAGTAAATCTTTTCTTATTTGAAAATGTACGCTTATCTGTTGAATTTAAATGATTCTTCATTAATTATAGCAAATAATTATCGTCATTTCTTAATGATTCATAATTTAAAACTATACTAAAAAATAGTTTGTTATTGCTGTTACTAAAAAAATATTTATTATTTGTTTTCATAGAAAATAAGTAAAATAATATTTTTTTTGTATAATTAACATTGCGATTTGAACTTAAATTGAAATTTACTATGATTTAAATTTTCTTACATTTTATGTATTTCGTACTAGATGGATATATTTTAGGGAATTGTAGGTTTTTATAAGTGAATGAAAACATTTTAAAGAAGGCGGAAGAGAAAAAAATATATTTACCAAAAAAAATATATATTTGGATAATATTGAAGAAGTCCAGTGTTCTCTATCTTTATTCTAGCAAATTGAAATTAAAATTGATCAACGTTTCTATAATATATGTAATTTTTTAAGTTTCATGGAAAAATTATCTGAATTATTATCCTTGCTAATTGAGCAACATTTGTGGCGATTAGAGAGCGAACCCGGATTTTCAGCAGTCGATTTCTTGGGATTGCTATTCCAACTATCTATGCAACTGCCTTCGGTGAATTGTTACTTGCGTTGTCTTGCCGTTTGGGCCTCATTCATCAAGCAAATCAAACCCCAAAATGCACAAAGGTAATTTTATCACCAATCTCATCATCACAATTACTAAAAATTGATATTTTCAGGTATTCAGAAGCGCTGCTTGGATTGGTCATAGCTGTACTCAATAAAATGCAATTCACATGCAACATGAACCAATTGAAGGAAATTAGCAACGACGATCAAAACGATAATGTATTAATCAATTATTAATACTTATACAAATAATTTGATTGTTCTTTTTGCAGAATGAGACTGAGTGGCAAGTTTTTCTTAAGACTTCTATAGAAATTATTGCGATGATCGCCGAGTTCGCTCCAATTGAAACCTTCACACGAGTCGTAAGTTCTTCAAATTTAATACGATTGTTATGTAATTTATGATTCTTATTTTTTTTTTTTTGAAAAGTTAGCACCATGGAAAACAGCGAACGACGTGTTCTGTATGTTGGAGAACGCCGTGGATATAAGAAACTGTAGTTTGAAACTGGAGTTTTCGGAAACTGTAAGACTGCAATGTATTCTTAAAGATTTGACGTCGCTTACGCAAACGTTGGCTAGACTATCGTCGATATTTTTAGATCCTGGTAAGTTTGCTTCTTAATCTTTGGATTGGATTAATTGATTTAACTATTGGTATTTAGATAGCGAATATTATCAACAAGCATCACCGATTATCGATAATTTACTTATGAAATTGATACAAAGTGCTTCGTTAGCTACGAACGCTAGGTTTTACCACTTGAAGATGAACGATATGAAATTAGTCAATGATTTCACTGAAGTGTAAGTAATTCGATTTTCTTCATGTTCGATGATGTTTCAATTATTGGTTTTAATTAAGGCATGGACAAATATTGGCTGCACTGAAAACATGGTGGTTATGGCTGAACACTAACGGTGAGATGAAGGTGAAAGAACTGAACTCGCTGATGGATATAACCGTGCCCATTTTGCGCTCCGCCAACCACGAACCACCAAAGGTGACGCACGGAGCCGCCCACCTTTTGCTGAGCATCACCGACACGATGTTTCCGCCCACGCTGATCGTGCTGCCATCTGTGGTTGAACTATTGCAAATGTGTCCGACTATTAAGTATCCCGATAAACAGTGCAAAGAGGTTGTCATGTGTGCTTTTACAAACTTGCTGGTGAAGCCGTGGGGTGAATTGTCGCAGCAAGATTTGCAGAAGAGGAACCAGATGATCGTGCAGTTCTTCGAAAGCATCACGAAGGATTTCAAAGAAATCAATGCTACGACTGATGCGAGACGAGTTAAAGATGTAGTAGAAACTGTCTTACCGTGTTTGTCGAGCGTCGTAAACTACTCAAAACATTTTCCTTTAAACTCAAAGAAAACGCTGTATTCCGCGATTAAAGTAAGCTTGTATCTTGTTAAAAAAAAAGTATAAATCTTTAATTGCTGTTATTTTTAGTCCACTATAGAGCAAGCTTTAATCGTTTTACCAATTTACTGCAAATACCCGAACGTAAACGAGCATCTCTTAATATTCTTCTTAAACGTTTTGGGTGTTTTACAACAACATATGGGAGTGGTTTTGGTGAAACACGCCATGGAAGTATTCTTGGATGTTGCAGTTAGGTAAGTTAATCACTAATTCTAATAGATACTTGTATTTATGTTTATAATTGAAGTGATCAACAGCGGAAGGATTATTCCGGCTTGGATAAGATGCTGCAAATTTTCCAGCTGGTTGTGGAGGCGCCGGGCAACAACTACAAAAATTTCCTTCCCGGCATCCTCAGTCTCTGTTTAGACAACGTTTTCCCCACATTGATCGTGGAGGCGAACGAGCAACCGGATTGCATAATAGCCTTGATAAATCTCCTTCACAGTATTCTTTTACACAGATGGAATTACTTCTACGTTTCGCAAATTCGCTTAGGGAATTCGCCGGGTTGCAGTGACGCTGACCCGAGTCCGGATAGCATTCAGCAACCTGAGCTTCTGCTGAAACTGCTGCAAGTCTTCGGGCAATCCCTTCTTCAACCGGACATCAACACCTTCCGAACGAGTTTAGCTGCTTTGGAGAATCTCAACGGCAAATGGAAGCTGTATCATAAAGGTTTATTCAGAGATCATCTCCTGAGCCAATTCCTCACGGTGTTACTGCAGACATTACTGGACAAATCGCATAACCTTCTGACCGATGACATACTGTACGCCCTTTACAATATGTCGGCTGTGAACTTTCAAGGATTCTTCACCACATTCCTTCAGCAATTTCTGCAGAACTTGGAAGGATTGTCGGCGCAGCAGAAGGATAACTTACGAAACAATTTCGCCCAGGAGACGGTCAGTTTAACGATCTAATCAATTTAAATCTTATAAATTTATTATTCTCAGGATACGCCTACATTCGTGCATCATCTGCAGAGGTTCATCAACGACACTCGGTGTTTCAGGTTGTGCAACTCGAGTTTGCCCGCCGGATCAGTGGTACTTTAGTGACAGAGTTTATTCGAAAGATAATCAAAGCTAATTTTATACGTGTATAAACAAGAAATTTTTAAAAGAAAAGAAAGTATTCGTTTTTCGTACACATTTAATTCATTCATGCTCAAAATTCTTGACATTTTCATTTCGTACAATTAGTGTTCATGATTTAGTTACGTTTTTTTTTAATTATTTTAAATGTTATTCGTCATTTGTATTGTGGTACTTCATATTTTTTATATATTTACATAATTATATATATATAATGGGCTTTATAATTATCAATAAAGATGCTATGTTTATTTAACATGTTAGTTTTTCCTTACATTTTAATTACAAATTAATTTATTTTATAATAAAAAAAAATATAGAATTGTTAGTTCTCAAATGAAATAACTCAGTTGGCTATAAAACAAAAGAGGTCACGATGCTGTAACTCTATCCGCAATACGTGACTAAAAATATTACGTCCACTGTAGCTCTTCATAATTTGCGCAAACGCTTTGCAGTTTAATCGTCAGTTACGGTATGAATACACACTGAGAACGTGACATTCTGTGCGGATAGTTTACATCGGTTATCTAACTATTAGTTGGATTTGCGTCAGAGTTAATCCTAATTAGATCAAACAGGAATCAATGGACTAATGATAATATTAGCAAAGATCGAATCTGAACCGAATGTTATTCTAAGCCACAATGATTAATCCTTGATTAAAACAATATACTTAATTTAATTATCGTAATACCTGAGTAATAACTAATTTAGTAGATTAAACAATAATACTTATTACATTTTGAGTATATGATGAAAAGTTAGTTATAAGTAAGAATAATTTATTTCATTTAATGAAATTAGTAAAAGTAGTCTTTCTGAAGTTGTCAAATATTGACAACATTCCGTTCCAATGTATTTGTTCGTAAGTCGAATTTGTTCGTAAGCCGGGGGAATACTTATCTTACCACACTTTATCATGGTTTTTACAATTATTTAATAAAAACACGTAAAAGGAAACAAATGCAATGAAACAGAAATTATCAATTTTTGTTTGGACAGTTAATTTTTTTTTATCACTATATATCTTCTTGTAACAACTTAGAGCTTTTATAATTTTGTTCGTAAGTCCGGGGGTTCGTAACTCGGGGGATACCTGTTGTTGAATGGGTGACTTTTTTCTTATTTGAGGCTGATATAAACTAATCATTACTTACCTATTTGATACTAATTTCAACTGAAAATTGTTATGGGTGAAATATAGGAAATGAATAAATATTATTTTTTAATTCGAATGCCATTTATTAATTATATATTTTATATTCATATTTAATAATAATAGTAAACATTTACAACGTAATAAAAGTCTAATTAATAAAAATAATAATAATACTTAATGAATAGTTAAACAACGATAGAATCTATATATTATTTATAATTTTGGACATAGAAGAATAGAGATTTTACACTTATTACATTAGAATGAAATGGAAAGAACGTCTGCAAAGAAGTGTGTGTTTGTGTGTGTGTGGATATTTGCAAGAGGAAACGAAAACGTAAACATGTTGATATGTGTTTCATCGAAGGAAATCTTAAATAAATAAAGTTTTTAAATGAGGTAGGGTTTGAAAATAAGAGAAGGGGACGGACAAGAATTTCGTTAAAAATGTATTCCGAACTTCGGGTTTCGAGAAAGTAAGTCTGAAGAACAACACTATATACTATGCAGATCAGACCTTTGAACATCCAGCCATGTGTTCAAAGGTACATAATCCTGAAGAGAAGAAACATGTCGTTAGTTATCATCATCATCTACAAGTCTTTTTTTTTTGTTTATACATTTACTTTCATACATTAAATAAAATAATATACTTTCTGATATATGCTTTTTCTTTTTAAAGATATTTTTAAAACTCTACCTACTAAATATACTCTTTTTTTTGTTTTTCTTTATTACTAAATTTCACTAAATCGGGTTTCACTTCAGACTACTGTGTTGCTTCTCATTTATCATCTGTAATTGAAAATTTTTGAAAATTAGTCTTATTAATTAATTGTTATTTGGATTTGTAGTTTTACCTAATATTTAATAATCCTGTCCAGTCTCTTTGGCAAGGTTGTAGCCGTCGTTTTCGGTGAGCAGAAGCATGAGCTGGTTGATGTCCAGACCCTGGCCGAGCTTACCAAATTCCTCGTAGTATTCTGGTGGTGGGACAGCCTCGTTCGACATCTTCTTGCCGCGGACACCAACGAATTTACCTCTGAATTCGTACGGGTATTTCTTGCCTCTCATTCCAAAGAATCCGGCGGAACGAGAGGGTTTCTTGCCGCGCATTCCGAAGAATCCGTTCGGAGCCCTCTTGGACTCTTCAGGAAGCAGAACAGTCTCCAGGTCCTTCTTGCCACGCATTCCAAGGAAACCGGACGGAGCTCTCTTCTCGAACATATCGTCGTATTCTTTCTTTCCGCGCATTCCCAGGAAACCGGATGGAGCTCTCTTTTCTAATACTTCAACTGAAATTTAATAACAAAATAGTTGCAAGTGATTTTAACATTAGAAAATCCTTCATAGAATAATTAATTTGATTCCAAAGAGAGTACAAAACTTTAGTTTAAATGTATGAAACCATACTGCCTAAACATATCTTATTCAATAAGAAATTTATTTGTAAGGAATAGTCAAATTGTTTTGCATGCAATTTTGCTAAAACGAAGTTTACTTTGGGGGCGGATATATCCGCCACTGATCCGAAAATAGTTAGATACAAGTTTATTTGTGGCAAGGAATGAATATACATTAAATATTGTTATTTGCTCTTGAGTTATGTAATAAACTATTTAATTAAGGGTTTTAGTAGATGATTTGTTTCGTTCGGGCTAATTGGTTGTAGACTAATTTAACGAAAGTTTTGTTAGTTATCGACGATGTTGTTGCTCAATTATAAACTATAATAAAGTTCTTTTCGCGCCGCAGACGTTGATAATTTAACTGAAAACCACGAATAGTACGCGTAATATATATGCGATATTATGTCGCGTCTAGTACGGATCCTTTATAATTAGAATCAAACAAGATGCGCGCGTATTGCGCAAATTAAATTCGACTTTGGAAACTAATTTTCAATCGTCCTCACCGTAATCCAGACCCTTTTTGCCGCGCATCCCTTGGAACCCAGACGGAGCCCGTTTGATGCCGACTTCAGGGTAGTCCAAGGACGTCCATCCCTCAAAAGGCTTCTTTCCACGCATCCCCAAGAACCCGGACGGCGCCCTCTTATCCTCGATATCCCTCATCTCGAAGTCCTCATCCTCGAAAGACTTCTTCCCACGGACGCCGGTGAATCCCGACGGCCCACGCTTCTGCTCCTCAGCGGCGGTAGAAACCAAGCACCAGACGGTGGCCAAAACGATGGAGATGTTCGGAACCCTCATCTGAAAGTATTCCAATAAGAATTCCGTTGTTAATTGCAATTTCAAAGTAATTTAAAACCATCTTTATACGTATCTACAACCATATCCCATCCACCCACCTAAACACTCATACACAAGTATACATTAGGATAATCCGCTGAAAATTCATCCCTTTACATATCTGTGCGGAGAGGATACATTCCGAACCATTTAATAAAGCGCCAAGCGGAGAATGCAGCAGTTCGGGATTTCCTTTTGACGATGTTTCTCCTACACTGAAAACTTCCGAGCGTTGCGGTTTATGTACACGCAAAGAAAACAAGATGAGCAACACGCAGAGAAAAAAAAAAGAAAACGTTAGGTTTGAGGAAGATGCGGAAAGGAGCAGTAGCAGTGATGTTAATCGTTTTCCAACGAAACCCTCTAATGCATGTGTGTCTTAATTTCAAAAGGGCGGAGGTACAAAAAGCTTCCGTTGCGAGAGCTGAAAGCTTCTGAAACACGAGAAATACAAACAGGGAATAAAAATCAAAACAAGCGGCGGCAACAACAAAAAAAAAAACTTGCTGTCTCTTCTCTATTTGCTCTTTATTTTCTTTCTCTTAGCCGCTTCTTTCCCTTTTCTATTAAAGCCCTTATTTCGCACGGTTAAGCAACTGAAATCCACGCGCACGCAACTTTCACAAAATATTCGCATTTACATACATTACGGTCTAAGCTCTGAAAAGTACATGATTAAAGGGGAGATGCGCGCTTTTCGAGCTCTCACACACGATACTTTCCTGATTAAAGCTATGGAATAGGTGATATATGGCTGCATCATTAATCTAAGATTAATTGATATTAATCGCGTTTTCGGGTCAATCCGGGTCGGAAGCTTCTTTTAATTGGAGGCTATAGTCTTCAGCGTTTCATGAAAAGTGCAGCGGACCTTTCGACCCGGAATACGATTATATAATGTGCTTCCGGGCGTAAAATCGCTGAGAAATTGCCACTTAGGGCGTTCGTTCATACAGTTTTATTTTGCATTTTATTCTTATTTTTATTTGCATAAAAAGAGAATTCTAACGAAATTACTACGATATTAAATCTTACTAAATTGCCAATAAAATGTTAAGTAAAGAGTAAAATAAATTTTAATAGTCCAAAACAAATCTATTACAACTTTATTATATTATAAGCTATACAATTTGTTAATTAAACTAATTTTCATTTCACGCTCATGTTCAAAATAATTTGATGAATATATATGCAAGTAAACTATGCTTTGAACATGCAATGAGTGAAAATAAATTGAACTGGAATTTTAAATCAATTTAAATTTTATGCTATTCTCTCTGCAAATATAAATCAACACTTGAATTATTGACGAAATAACATGATAAAAATGCGGGGAATTAAAAAAAAAGTTATTTAAAACTGTTAACTTGTTGATTCATTGAAGCGAGTAAAAACTAATGACTGTTTAATGTTAGGTTTTCTTTGTAAAAAGCAATAAAAAAATACCCTTTTTGTAACGTTCATGATGCAAATGCATTGCATACTTTTCAGCATTCGCACTGTTCGTATCGAATAGTTAAAACAAAGTGAGACGTGAAAAATGTTTACGAGTGTTAATTAGTTTTATTCTCGTTCGAATTTCCATTTAACAACTGCATTAATTTTTCTGTTGTTGTTTGCAGTAGTTTATGCATGGATTCTGCACGAAACGCTTTGGTCAGCGGCCGCAGGCAGATTCAGACGAAGGCAATTTACCGTCGCGGCCCATTTCCCAATTAGTCCTGAAAGGAAGCTCGTTTTCAGCTTAACACGAAGAAATAGAGAGAGAGAAAAAGAAAGCACGAACGGCAATAAGGACGAGCGTAGCATGCAACACGTATGTTAATTCCTTCGTATTAAAAAAAGAAAACAACCCTTAGATCCCGAGATACACGGAGGAACAAAAAATCAATACCAATGGAGAAGCATTTCTTTAATAACATCGGACTTGTTTCCGGGTACAGCGATATCCGAGGCTCTAGGTATGAGTCGTAAATGTTACGAGATGGTCACGTATAGTGGCGGATGATGATGATAGTGATGATAAGGGATGGAAAAGGGGGAAGAGGGCGAAATGCAAAACGGTTTTCTCTCTCTATCTATCTTTATGCTTCTTTCTTCCCGCAACAAACTATTTTATCGTCCCGAGTTATTGCCGTTGCGAATCACAACATTGTACCAACAAAAATATAATTAAAAGACATGATAATAATAAAAGATATGCGTTCGCTCACGATGGAGTAATTATGAAACATCTGACTTGCGTGCATCAATTATGCAACGTATGCATACTAATCAAACCCTAATTTCGGAGTTGGAGTGTTCTGAAGCGCCCTTTCCCTTCACCGCGCTCGACTCTCACTCACTCTCGATATGAGAGCCAATACGATTTCTTTTCGAGATCCAAAAAGCTAACACCTTCTGGAAATATGATTCCCTTGATCCTTTTTCTATATTTCTCGTCTGCGAAGACCCCAAGAGGGTTCCACAAAGCTCAAACAAAACTAAATTTATTTACTCCTCTCTTCTACCACCTCCCCCCTTTCACGATATATTCAATATGTGCCGAATGTTTATCACAGACTACTCATCCTGTGAATACAACAAAAAACACAACTCAGTTATTTGAAAAATATTTTTTTCTAACTATTAAATTATCCATGATAACAGTATAGCAATATTTATGTATTTAGTTTCTCGATTAGTCCGGTTTCAAGAAGTCCTGGAATTTACCCGAACTATGCGAGGTATTGTTGTAAACTTTTGAATTATCTAAAAAAATACTAGTAGTTTTATATTGTTTTGTTACTTATATGCCTTTAGTTATAGTTATATTACCATACCAACTACATTGTAAACATGTAACTACAAATGTCATTTCAATTATCCTTGATAATAGTAGTTGGTACTACTGAAATGTATACATATTACATAAAACGTACAGTACAGAAGCAGAAACTGTCAATTACATCATCCATAATAATAGTATATCAATTTGCATGTATTTAATATCTGGATCAGGACTGTTACAAACAGTCCGCAAACTATTGTTCTAGTTGGTACTTTTGAAATGTATAAAAAAACGAGTAGTTTCATATTGTCATGTTACATCCATGCGTTATGTCAATGTAAACATGTAATTAAAAATGTCAATTCAATTAACTCTGAAAATAGTGGTTGGTACTACTGAAATGTATACATATTACATAAGAAGTATAGTACAGAAGCAGGATTTCAACTGTCAATTACATCATCCATAATAATAGTACATCAATTTGCATGTATTTAATACCTGGATCAGAACGGTTTCAAACAGTGCGGTTACTTGAACGAACTGATTACCATTACCATCATTCTAGTTGATACATTTGAAATATATAAAAAAAAAACGAGTAGTTTCCTATTGTCATGTTACATCCATGAGTTATGTCATTATAAACATGTAATTACAACTGTCAATTCACTTATCATTGATAATAGTAGTTAGTATTATTGAAATGTATACATATTACATAAAACGTACAGTATAGAAGCAGCATTACAACTGTCAATTACATCATCCATAATAATAGTACAGCAATATGTATGTGTTTAATTCCTGGATCAGAACGGTTTCAAACAGTCCGGAATATTGGCGTAAATGATTAATCGTACTATGCAAGGTATTGCTGTAGTTAGTACTTTTGAAATTTATTAGAAAAACAATAGTTTCCTATTGTTATGTTACATCCATGCGTTATGTCATTGTAAACATGTAATTACAACTGTCAATTCACTTATCATTGATAATAGTAGTTGGTAATATTGAAATTTATAAATATTACAAGAAGACGCATTGTGTAAAAGCAGCATTAGTATAGAAAATGTAGATTTTCAATGCAAACAAAAACTATATGGAAAACCCTAAATATTTACAATTTTTTGTAAAATTTAAATCATAATCATATTAGCATCAGATTTATAGAAAAAAAAAATTTAGAAAACTTAAAAGTGGATGTAGTTTTAATATAATTGTATTAATAAAACTTTAAATAACAAAATTAACAATTCTTTGTTTGCACGGTTATATATTTTCTTTTATAGTAAATTTTAGAGAATTTTGATCAAATTGGAGTTTAAGCAAATATTTTAAGTGATAAAATCCTAAAAGTTCTACAGATTTTTTTTTACCAAAAGATACAGTTTCATAAAATGCATTGTTTCAGTAACTATTCACTACCTATCAACAAAATCTAACGTAAAAATGAACATAAAATGATTTCAAATCATATTTCAATTTCAGACAACTGATATCAATAAAAAATGGATATAAGAAATTTACAAACCGTACATATAATGACAAGAAGTTATTTAATAACAGTTAATTTAATAAGAAAATCTATAGAACAAATGAAGAAAACTTAAATATGATTGATAATCAATTAAATTAATGGAAACATCTATTGAAAATTGTTAATAATGAAAAAAAATACTGAGATATCAAAAATGATATAATGAAAGAAATGATTGTATTTTTACATAATCAAAGTAAAATATGAAATTTCTTTAGAGCTTTGGTCTAATTTAGGGACAATCAATAAATATGAAATTAGTTACAGTAAATTTGAGAGAAAGAATATAAAATGATTGCAAAGTATTTACAAAATTATATGGTTTTACCCAAAATATGATGATTTGAAATTCTATACTTATTAATAAATACAAGAAATTATTGAATGATAAATAATTTATTCAATGAAACAAATATATTTAATGACTAATGAAGAGTACACTAATTTTTTTATGAAATATTTTTTTTATACAGAATTTGTTACAGTCAATTTTTAATATTATTGCGTTTTTATATATGAATGAATAATTACAAGTAAATAGATATTGAATATTTGGAACATCTCTACTGAAACATAAACTAGTCCAGTTGTTGAATTTCGAGCAGACTGTATGTTTCGCGAAAACAATAAGTACCCAATGCCGTCAATCAA